ACGGCACATAACAACAACAACAACCCTAAGCTATATCCACTCTATCTTAATCATTAATGTCAACATAGTTTGGTTCCTCCCTCCCCAAATAAAAAATTACATTCCCAAGTAAATTCTCAATGTTTGCTATTTTATACATGTGTAACTTCTGATCTCTGGTGACTTAGTGGTAAGAAGTTGTGCTGTCAACCTTAAGGCATGCAGTTCAAATCCATTAGCTGCTTAGCAGGAGAAAGATGAACAATCTCCTTACTAAGAGAAAAGCTCTGGTTGCATATTCCCTAAGGGATTTGACTGTTAACTTTAAAAGGCTGAGCTTCTCGGGAAGTTGAATTTGCCAGTGAGTGGCTCCTTGAGAGAGATTGACAGTCTCCATCCATGCAATGTATAACCTCCTGAAACCCACTAAATGCTCAGCTATAAGTCGATTTTGCGTCCATGGTAATGACTGTGACTCAGTCTGTAAGAATCACACACAGTCTTTATGCTTGGTTTAAGATTACCTGTTGATCGAATGAGAATAAAACTGATAGATGGTATCTTCTAAAGATTAAATCCATGTGTGCATCAAAAACTTTTTTCAACAGGGTGAAAAGAAAATCTACAGACTAGGAACAAACATTTGATAATACCATCTCAAGAGAGTCTCGTAACGAAAGTCTACAGAATTCTCCTGGGCCTCGATAAGAAAAAGACTGATAACTCAATTACAAAATGGGCAAAAGACATGGAAAGAATTTTCATAGAGGAAGATATTTGAATGGCAAACAGACACATAAAGAAATGTTCAAAATCACTGGCAATAAGAGAGAAGCAAATCAAAACCACAATAAGGCACCATCTCACTTCAGTAACAGTGGTAAAGTTTAACAGGGCAGCAAGTAATAAATGTTGGAGAGGATGTGGCAAGGAAGGAACTCTTGTACATTGTCGGTGGGATTGTAAAATGGTACAACCATTCTAGAAGACAGTTTGGCGCTTCCTCAAAAAGCTGAACATAGAAATTCCATATGAACCAGCTATTCCACTGCTTGGAATATATCCTGAAAAAATGAGAACTGAAGCACAAATGGAGACTTGTGCACCAGTGTTCACAACAGCATTATTCACCATCACAAGAACATGGAAATAGCCCAGATGTACAACCACAAACAAATGGATTGAGAAATTATGGTACATTTACACAATTGAATACTATGCAGCACGCAGGACCAATAATTTTGTAAATTATTACCTAACTAGGGAGGGACTGGAGAGCATTATGCTGGGTGAACTAACTCAAATATTGTATAAAACCATCATTATAGAATGAGTATAGGATCCAAAGGGGGGTGGGGTGGAAGCAGAGGGATGAGGATGTGCAAGGAGATGGGGATTAATCATGGGGTTGTACAATTTGACAGGACGGTAAGGTAAATTGGAAGAATCTGTACTTGAAAACAATGTATTCAAATTTTGTAAATAAATATAATAATAAAAATTTTTTTTAAACCCGATTACTTGTATTTCTAGGACAAAAAACCTTTGCTCTTTATCTTTCATTTAATCAACCATAATTATAGTATTTGGTCTAAAGTTAAATCCATTTTTATATAACAGTTTTATAACTGTCCTAGTCTGTCAACAGCTTGTCCAGCTGTTATATTTATATCTTATTTACTTAGTCTTTCAGTCACTTGCTATGTGTCTGAGAGCTAGACATTGACTAAGGATGACATAGAAGAATAGATGCGTTGGATCTGTGGTGGTGGAGAAGAGTGCTGAAGGTTCCTTAAACTGCCAAAAGAAAAAATAGATATGTCTTGGAGAAGGTGCACCCAGAGTGCTCCTTGGACGCAAAGATTATGAAGCTTCATCTCACATACTTTGACTATGTTGCTTTTTCTTAGAAAGGAACTTTATATTTGGAAAGGTGGAGGGATGGTGAAAGAGGGAAGATTCTCAGTCAGGTAGATTGACACACTGACTGCAGCAATGGGGTACAGGGTGTCAGAGATTGTGAAGACAGAAATAGATAGGACAGCCTTCAGATCAGTTGTTCATAGGGTCACTATGAGTCGTAGTGTATTTGATGACACTTAACAACAATACAAAGTGCTTATTCACTTTTAGTAATTTTTTTACTTTCCTCTTTAAATATTTTTTAAATTATCTTATAGTTATAAAATTGTGATTGTATGTAAATTTTAACGTTTTCAGTTAAGTGGAATGGAATGAGGGATAACTGAAATGGGCTTGAGATTATTAAAGTACTTCAACAACCCTCTCTCAGACTGGTCGATTTCTTTTTCTTATGTAGGAAACATCTTGATTTTCCAGATAATTTAAATTATTTGAGATTTAAAAATACAGTTTCTACAGCTACATTTTATTTCATTGATATTTATATTCTTTTCAGCCAGCAATAGTAAGACGTCCACCAACAGTTGTTTGTTATATCTGTGGTCGTGAATATGGAACAAAATCGATAAGCATCCATGAGCCACAATGTCTGAAAAAATGGCATAATGAAAACAATTTGTTACCAAAGGAGCTAAGGAGGCCTGTACCCAAAAAGCCAGAAGTCAAGGCCATTACCGGTAAGTTTCTAGAGAAAAAGAATGGAAAGCATTTTATAAAGGGAGATTTCCCTTTTTAAATTTGTAATATTGAAGAAGTTTTATCTTACTTGTTCAATTTAAATCAGCAACATTTATTATCTTAACTATAGTCAAATAGAAGGATAAGCCATCTCCTGTCATGTGATTAACTCCCTCTGAAAACCTGCTGGAGGGTCAGCTATGGGTCTGTTCCCACTAAATAATACACAGCAACAATATTCAAATAGGAAAAAAACCTTCTGGAATGCCTCTCCACAGAGTGAAACATAAAAGCACTATGTCCTGGCAAAGCTGTGCAAGGAGAGAGAGACTCAATTAAAATTTACTCTATTTTCCAAAAGTTACTTTTAATATTTTAAAACAAAATAATTCAGCAAAATAAAGCTTAGGAAAACCCTTCTCGACATCCACTTTCAAACCTTGATGTTCAGAGAGCTGGACTGACAAATGTTTACTAGCCAAGTACAAAAATTAAAAACCCTTCCAGGCATAAAAAGGGAAGATGCAATAATTGGAGAGCACATAGTTTCTCTGAAGGAGACAGCTACTACCCAGTTCCAGTCAATGCTATTATTAGGAAATTTAGCCCAATTTAGTGAGATCTTTCAAGAACACTAAAGAAACTAATTACTAGTTTCATATGTTAATTTATATAACCCATCTAGACTTTTTTGTAGTTACTTTGGGAATTAATATTTTGTGTAAACGGAATAAAACTGCAGTTTTACATGCTGTATGTGTGGTCTCTTCTCAGAGTTGTATATTAATTAACTTAAATGTGACAACAAAGCAGTTAAGAGAATGTTTTCTTGCCATACTAACTCAGACTTGTCTACCATATTTCCAGCATTATTTTTTCAACTGATCCCTTGACTTCATTCAAAGCAAGAAAGTTTTCCATAGGTAACCGTAGAGTTTCAATTCTGGAAGGTACTTTCAAAGCTATTGACAATTAGTCTAAAGCACTGTTGTTAAAGCCAGGATCCCAAGAAAGTTTTAATGTAACCCACAGAGTGAATCATGGTGGGTATTGAGAAAATTCTAGACTTTCTAAATACTGTTAGAATTATTGTCAAGGAGAAGGTTTTGTAAGCAGGGAGCAAGAGTACAAGATGAAAACACCCGCCTATTGAAATGAGAGTAAGAGCTTAGAAAAGATTATATACTATAATGAAAATTCTTTCCAGAAATTTTCATTTCATGTAAAAGTCTATTTCTTCCTTTCTGATCTTCATTATATTCCCTGCTTGACCATAATTATCACAAGTCTGGAAAAAAAATGAGCCCTAGTGGATCCACTTTTCTGGTATTGCTACAGATGGGAAAGCCAGGTCCTGAATTGCATTTGCTCACATATTTTGTTTCCACATTGTATTTATCTCTGAAGTTACCCTTCTCTAAGTAAAGAGAATTCACATTATCTTTTGCCATGCATCAATTCACTGTAGTTACAGAGTTTAAATTATTCTTCTCTCAGATTCAAAGTCAACATACTCAAATGTATGTTGTAAATCATCTTTAAGAGTCAATAAATATTCCAAAAGTTTTGTGTCTGTATTAACAATCATATGAATAGGAAGAAAGACATTGTCATTTTTTAGTAGACTTTTCAGAACACACATAAAAATGTACATTTATATCCAACAAAGAAAGTGATACTTTCTTTATCCAAAGGAGAATTATTAGGTTGTTCTGGAATTGAGTTTCCCACACAAAGAAAAGTAATAAAACACAAGGATCAAACATATTAAGGAATCTAAGTTTCACTGGTCATGTAAACCATTAGGTAGAAATCGATGAGCATTGACAGGGCTTTAATAAAGAAGTAAATGCTGTGCCAGTGACAGGAAAAACAAAACAAAACACCACCATGGAATATTTTTGAGTGTCTGGTTGTGTTTTGGGGAACCTATTTTGGTTGCTTCTAAGATGTAGTTAATTTAATTCACTAAAGTCATTCAACTTAAATAAGGTTTATTAAAGTTAAATCCCACACTGTTTCTCTAAAATAAAGCCATATGCATTTTTGCCTATGCTCTGCCAATGAAGATTATACATCACCAAGCTATCTTTGTTGCTTTTGTAGGAACATGTCTTTTCATTAGACAACTATTCTGGTTGCATACTTCAATTTAACTATATAAAGAATATCTGTTCTTGACCATAACTCATACTCAAGAGATGATGAATTTCTCAGATACAATTCCTCTTACATTCATTCTCAACTGTCAGTTTTGGCTCCAAAAACATCCCAATAAAGTAACAGAAAAGGGAAATACAAATGCATGTTCTTTCCTGCATTGTAAGCTTATATGTGGAGTCAACTGAAAGGAAGCCAAGAGTTATATTTGCAAGATAATAATGTGTAAGCAAAGATGTTAATAATTAGTGAAGAATGCACATCACAACACATGAAATAGTTTTCCTTCCTTTAAAGTCCAAGGAGTGGAAAGTCTTTGGTTCATAGCTAACTTTACACAATCCCTAAAAGGGTGAGCAGTACAGGATTTTTTTTCCCCCTTAAAGCAATATTATTTTTTTTGTTTCAGTCAACATGTATTTCCTGAAAATATTTTCCATAAAAACTCAAATATGGTGGTTCTTTTGTGTGAAAATGGATTCACTTTACCTTTTACTTTTCTTTTTTTTTTTTTTTTTGCTTCCCAGCCAAAGGTTTCTATGATCTTGACGCTTTGAATGAAGCTGCTTGGACAAGTGCCCAGAGCCAGTTGGTTCCTTGTAATATTTGTGGGCGTACCTTCCTGCCAGACAGACTGATTGTTCACCAACGATCTTGTAAACCCAAAGTGGCCAAGTAAAGCTCTCTCTTGCTGTTGAAGTGTTATGGGTATTAAATCCCCTTTGAAAAAAATTGAGATATTGTGAGAAGGAAAAAAAGGACGTGAGGATGGAGGAGACAAGAAAAACTGGTACTGGACAACAAAAGATTGAGCGCTGGCAGTCCAGTTCCACGTTTCTGGTGTGTAGGTCCAGATGCCCGCCATTGACCTGAAGGCATAGTTCTAACAGGAAGCTACATGTACATACAGGCAGTCTGTGGGTTATAAATAAGATCCGTTGCTAAGTGTGCCTTTAAGTACAATTTGTAGTTAAGTCAGAACAGGTGCATATGGTTCTGATTTAGCCTTATTTTAATTCCAAAATTAATAATAATAATAAAATGAAACCTTTCCAAGAATTTAAAACTGCAAGTGAAGATGATTGTGATAACGAATTTGTTGTGTGTATGAATAGGTTTGAAGCAAAGGCAAATTTACATAACATTAAAGGGCAAATAGAAGTTGTCCTTAAGCTGGAGTTTGCCACCGGGAGACTGGGAGACTTACCTCATGCTCTGGGGACTTTTTCACACTTTGGAGAGGCAGAATTATAAGTGGGCTGTTGCTTGTCAGAACTGACATTTTTATCTAAATGAAACTCAAAGCCAATTGTCCCCATTTCCCTTCCATTCTGTGTTCTTGAACAAGATTTTGAAACTCACAATTAAGACTGCTATTCCATGTAGAGAGGCTTTGGCAAGGGAGCTACTGAATACATTCTTTAGCGCCAGGAAGAATTGGATTCCTTCTCAATCCTGTATGAGGGAAATTTTTTCAATTGCATTATTGACTGGGAAAATGCTTTTCTCTAGAAGATCATTCAACCAGAGAGACATTTAAAAAAAGACTGAATGGTTGAAGGGAAGAACTGTTTAAAGGGAATATATGACGAGGCATATTTGTATGACAATAGTCCAGAATAAGAGGTGTATAGAAAAGTGGACTGGAAGGGAGAGTAGACTGGGGGAGGGGTGGGAAGAAGTGAAGAAACTATACAACGATGAGTGGATATTTTTTTTTAAAAGCAAACTGTGGCCAGGGTAGGGAGGAAAATGTACAACAATGAATGAAAGAAAAAAGTCCAACTTTTCCATAAACTTTCATTAAAAACACAATTAAAAAAAGAAGAAATTTTAAAAAATTACTGAGGACCTAAAGTGCTGGCACCATATCTCACTCTACTTCCCTTCCAATAACAAAATTGGTACAGAGATATTTCAGAACCAGAACCAGCTTCATATGTCAGGAGATTGTTGCATTTCAATTTATTAAAATGGGTAGAGACGAGCTCCTTCCTTTATAGGAGAAGTCTCTTAAGAGGTCTCTATGCTCTCTTAGGGCTTTATAGATGTTTTATTTTTGACTTCCAAAGGCCCGCCAGGAAGTTCCATGCCTCCCCACCCATGGCCCATGCACAAACCTGCTGTATTTAGTGTGTGTTCAGAGAGGTGGGGCACACCTGGAAAGAGGCCAGGGCCGGCCAGGGAGGTGCTGTGCTGGACAAATTCCTCCAGGAATTGCTGTTCCCCTGGACTTCCAACCATTTTCCTTGAGATCTTTGCTTACTTTGTAATTGGATTCCAGGGCCTATCAGGATCTACTGGGTTCCTGCAAACCTTCCATCCATGACCTTACACAGCCCAGTCAGCTCCAAATTATACAAGCAGGCCAATCTGGCCTAATACTTTGGTCACACCATATAGGGTTAGGGTAGGACAATAGTTTTAATCATTCTGATTTTTCTATCTGCTCCAAAAGAAATAAGAGGTGAGAGTTAAAGAATATGTTTTTAAAAAACACCTAAGAAATCAAACTCACTGTTGCCAAGTTGATTCTAACTCATGATGACCCTCTATCAGGCTTCTGAAGCTATAAATCATTATGGGAGGATTTTTCATTTTCTCCCACTGAGCAACTGGTGCATTTGAACCATAGGAAACCCAAGGTATATTGGTTAGCAGTGAAACATGCTATGCCTTTAAATAAGGTATAAGAGAGACAATTTAATTCCTTAAATTTGATGGTTTAGTTCTTTTATCTTACTAAAAACAATGTCAAAAATATTTAACATATATGGAGTATACCCTGGATTAGACACTATTCCAAATGCTTCGTCGACTTCTCATATAAATCTCACATCAACTCCACAAGTACACATTATTATCCTTATTTTATGAATGAGGATATTGATACCTAAAGAAAGATCACATTGTTTGACTTGAGGAATAAAGTAGGAAAGTAAACTCAGGTCTGTTAGACTTCCAGACCCAAACTATCATCCATTGCTATTGGTCAATGAAATATCATTGATAACATTAGCTACATCAATAAACAAAAATATGACATATAAAAATTTTCTGTACAACTTTTATTTTTTTTCTTCTATAATTATACTTTATTAATTTTCATAAACATTTACAGAGATTTTGGGCTTCCACTCATTCATTGTTGCACTAT